CATTCAGTTCCTTCTGAAGGTCTTCTTTCTTTTTCTTTTCATGTTTAACTGCTTCCATTGCCTCAGCTAACTCTCTCTCCTTCTCTTTACGAACTTCAACCATTTCAACTTCTCCCATCAACTCCAAGTCCTCTATCTTTTTAGCCAACTTATCCCTTTCTCTCTCTACTTCCTCCTTCTCCTTCATTAGTTCTTCCTTCTCCCTCTCCAATTGTTGTATGGTACGTGCTAGTTTTTGTGTAGTCGATTGATCTACTACCTGTACACCTCCTCGTCCACTTCTACTCATTTGCGTTCTGAGTCGAATAATTTCCTCTTCATATTCTTTTATTTGTTTCTCCTTGTCTTTAAGCTCTCTCTTGTGCCTTTCATTCTCCAATTCTATTCTTGCTAGTTTGAGACTCAATTCAGGATCATCACTGGATTGCTGTGGTACCATTAGCTTTGGCACAAAGGAGGACACCTACAAAGATATGGTGACTTTTGCCTTAAAGATGTGTGTGCATGTATAAATTAAATGTAATATTATTCCCGTGGCCAAAATTGTGCAAATTGTCATCAAAATGACTTTTGCAAATTCATTTTTTACAAATTCAACACGCCTTTCAATATAATTAGGTCATTAATTTTTTAGGATTAAATTTCTGCCATTTTTTAAAATTCACAAAAATATTGGCGCTAATATTCACTGTTACAACAGGAACTTTTAAACACCAAATTTTGCATTTATTCATAGGGAATTCCAAAGTTCTAGTTGTAACAGGTAATGTTGCATTGCAGTCTTTAGGTTACTAGTATTTAGTAAATTTAGTAATCTGTGCCTTTTAATAATTTTTAAATAGATAAACACTAAATTCAATGCTCACACATAGCCAGATTTTACCCCTTTTTGATATTTTAGACACTGCCCAATTACCATATGGTTGGTAATTTTCGAGGATCCAATATTTAGCATTTTCTCTAAAATTTCTTTGGAAGCTAATATTTGTAGGTACAACTATTCGTGGCTGGCAGTTAGCAAACTACTTGGACCTACAGCACTAGCTTCCAGTACATGGCTCATAGTGGATGGAGTATGGAGTAATAGAAAAAAACTCTGGCTCCTCCACTGGCTTGAAAATAGTAGTTAGAGCTCTGCACTCATAGCGACTGATTAATTAGTTTTTGTGTGGGTGGTAGGAGTTAAAATTTCGTGAATAAAAATGAACTGTGAAATTAACAAAAATTAATATTCCATGAAATTTACCAACTGTACGATAGTCAAACGTCAAAAAGGGGAGAAATATGGCTATGCATGAGCCTAGTTACATGTAGCTACAATACAATCAGCAACAGCAAATACACTTACATCATCATCATCTTCATCATCATGATCATATCTCATTGGAGTAGGAGGAGTGGCTCCTTCGGTTGATGGTAGTGTCTCTACTGATGGTACTGGTGCTTGAGTTGTATCCTGCCATGAAATCACCCATGCTGATTCTAGATGCTGTTGAGACATTTCTTGTACGACAAAAGGTCGAGGAGGAGGTGGAGCAGGTGAATCAAATGATTTCTTTTTAGGTGTCGATTTCGGTTGTCTTGTCATTCGCTTGTGAACAAAATGTGCAGCTCCACCAAGTCTTGCTCTCTTCTGCTGATGATCCTTTTCCCCGCCCCCACCTTTTTGCTTAGAATCATCGGTTCCTTCCTCTCCCTCATTCCCTTTTGGCCCTTTGGACTTCATTCTCTCTGCCATTAATAAAAGTTTCGATTGACTGGATTTTAGGCTTCAAGTAATAATAGTAGCAACTGTGAGTGACAACTTGAAAAGAAACATAGATATAATTAGAGTTTATTCTGTTATCTAGGAACGAAAAATAATCAAAATCCCAAGCCTATGGTTACACCCACATGCACAACCTCTTCACCACGTGGTCAAAAATGAAGAGAAAGAGAAAGGTAACTCCTAGAGTTCTTTCTTAGTTTAAAATACTCATGATTCCTTTTAGTCTGAAGATGTCCATGAAGTGAAACGCCTCAAAGATGCTAATGGTGAGTCTGTAAAGAGTAAAGGAGAAGAGGAAGATGAAGGACCTCCTCCAGAGAGTGACTTTAAGAAGTATCGTATCAGTAAAGTATCCAGGAAGACCCTTAAGTCACGTGGTATAACCCACCTCTTCCCTATACAATACAAGACCTTTGATACTATTTATGACAAGAAGGATGTAATCGGACAAGCTCGTAAGTTGATTAATTGATTTAATATTACCATATAGCTGGTTTATTTCGTGTGGAATTAATTTTCGTGCAGGCTCAAATCCACTAAAATTAATTCCACTAAATTTTATTAAAACCAATTAAATATTAACAAAAATTTAGCAAGGCACTAAAATTAATTCTAATGAAAATTTAAGCAGCAAAAATATGAGGCCACGAAATAAACCAGCTATACGGTAATTAATGAATATTAGTATTCGACTGTATTTCATTGCTAATCAGCCACGCCTGACTATTTCATTGCATGTATGAGTGATTTCGCTTATGCAACTGGTATTATTAGTAGCAAGAGTGGATAATTATTTAGGGAGAGTGTCTAACCTGCCTATATTCTGTGATACCACAGCGCGTATGTTTACATCCGTTTTTTGCAAGTATACAGAGTTAATCTCAGTAATCTTCAAATTTATGGGTGTGGCTGATAAAATGGCGCTTGAAGCATAGATAATAGAGTAAATGAAAGGGATTGGAAACGGAAGCGTGGGCGTAGCCCAACCTCCATTCATTTGTATTGCTGCTAGGCTGACAGAGGCTCGTTGAATTTTTTTGTCACAATTTACCCTTGATTTTCTTTCTTTTAGGAGCAATATCTCGCAAACAAGTGTTCCTATGCAAGTGAAATTAATGCATCAAGAAGCCTAATGTTTCCTCTTTATAATTCTGTTTTCTATTGTATAGATAATTTTACTATGTTAATGTTATGGCACTTTTAAAACCATAAAATGTATTTTTTGTCATTATAATCCCTTTTTTGAAAACAAGCTAGAGTAAAATGTAATATCTTTATAATCATATGAAAGAGTTTCCATTTGCATATCGAATGATACTAGTTAAGGTTAGAATCCATGAAGCATGAGTTTGTTACTACAGAAAAAGGGCGAAAAATGAAAAAATTTTGTTGTACCTATAACTCGTTGCAAAATAACGTTGTAGAAGTAAAAACCTTGCTGCAGGTAGTCCAACACTTTCTATATCGAACGGTAGGTATATCATAAGTAAGCGTCCTCTTGGATCTCCATAAATATCCTTCGAAGTCCTTGCAGTACAGCCTCACTAATGGAGGAGATGGGAAATCAACCAGGTACTGGGCCGGTAACCAATAGCAACATCAACCAGCCTACGCCCCCGTTTCCAATCCCTGTTTACTCTAATATCTATGCTTGAAGCATGCAGGCAACTTTAAGACTTATATCTCCACTCTGAGGATCATGTAGTGCGAGAAACAAGCAGGAGCAGACGGGAATATGTTCTTCTAATGGTTGGCTCTTTCTTATTTGCAGCCTTCTGACTTGGAATCAGTATAAGGACGCAAGAATGGCTACTTGGTGCTAATAACCATGCTATGTAAACTTACGCACTGTGGTATCACAGATTATAGGCGGGTTAGACACTCTCCCTAAATAATTATCCACTCT